GTCGTGAGTTTGATCCCCGGTACCGATAAAAATGAAAAAGACAAAAAAAAAAAAAAAAGAAATGTTTTATCAACCAAAATTAAATTTGCTTGCTAGCCAATTTATATTCCTCAAAGTTTCTTGAGGTCAAGTTTCAAAGCCAACAACAAAAGTGATAATTATCATGAATTTATGATTTGATGTTGGAAGCTTCTGTCAAATACCACAGCTAACCACGGTAATAAAGGTTTGATAAAGGAGTAATCCTGCATCCTCTAAACACATCCATATTGCAATTAGGTTTAAGATTCTTAGACAGCCTTACTTTTTCACCTGTTCTGCTAACTTGGAAACCAAGTTGATATTTAGAAACACTGTACTTCTCAAGAAATAAACAAGTATGTGAAAAGTATGGCTTTGTAGAATTTCTGCTGTCCAAAGTCTAAAACAGTGATGGTGAACCTTTTAGAGACGGAGTGCCCAAACTGCAGTGCAAAACCCACTTATTTATTCCAAAGGTCCAACTCTGCAATTGAATCTGAATATCCGATACTGGGCTGCTGGAGTGATGCTAGGGAGACCTGGTTTGTGTGCTAATAGGACTCTGTGTGCCCACTGTGGTACGTGTGCCGTAGGTTTGCCATCATTGGTCCAGAATAAATCAGTGAACACTGGGAAACAGACGTGATGCTAATGTTCACACCAAAAGTGAGAATACATGCAGTGTTCCAAGTGACTTTTTGTTTTGTGTTCAATGCAGATGCTGAGGGAGACAGGAATTTTTTCTCTTCATTAAATTTGATATTTTTAAGGTCACAGTTGGTGTGAGATGATAAAATTAGGCACACAGAGTAGTAGGGAACTGAGAAATATGAATAATAATAGTCCTTTAGATTTTCTTTATTTTGATGCTAGCTGGGAATGAAACCCACACCTAGTATGTTTGTATATAAATGTAATAGATTGGCAAAAAGTATGCTAGTATTGAAAAACTCTAGGTTTGTTTCCATGGTCCTTCATCACTTGCAGTTTCAATGCCTCAGCAGTTATATTCATTCAAAGGAGATTTTGGAATAGGAATCTAAAGAGATATTATTAGTTCAGTTGCAAAAATTTCAAGTTTCAATCAAGAAGTAGTTTAATCATGAGGTAGTCTGGATATTGTAATTAACACTCTTAAGTCCTGTGAAAGTTCTCTGCACATTTCTTGTATATTACACGTCACATGGATGAAAATGATGCCCCTTTTTCATATTTCAGAGCTTGGAGACAGAACATTTGGTTTCTATGGGTGAGTGAGATGCTGTGAATTGTTTACTCACCAAGAGCATGGAAATGATATCAGAGGGATCACAATCAGTTTGATAGACATGGGCAGGATGAAGCAAAAACCAGGGATGCTGACAAAGATTTGGGAGCCAATCAGATATAAATCTGAAATATTATATGGTACTCAATCAGAAAGTTCACTGTGATTTGGGATTGTTTAAGCAATGGAATTATATAACAAACAAGGGCAAAATAGGTTGTCCTAACCTGGACCTCAGAACTGAAAAGGAATAAGCATTGGAGGAAAGCAATGATGGTTTTAAAGCAAAATATGAACTTTATAGTGTAGCCAAACCACAGAGTCAGTCCTAAGGGGCATGATAAAATCTCCAAATAGCTTGGGGGTCTAAACACCGAGGGTAAAGAGGAATTTTGGCTTGAGATATGAAAAATTTCAAGGGATAAAGTTAAGAAAAGGGAAATTTAGGTTAAGCATCAGAATACACCCTTTGATGGTAAGACGTGTATGTTTGTAGCATGTCTCTCAAGTAAATAGAAGAATACTGATGAGTTCTCTAGGATCCCAGACAAAAGGATACCTTGATGTCAGACCCAGGATTCTACAATTTCCCCTGTAATATTTCTGGATCATGACCATGTGGAATAGTGCCATTTTTTTTAAATCCTGAAGCTCTCTGATAGTTATAATCGGAATGGGTAGCTAACAGGCTGCTCTGTGCCTTCATAAAGTAATATACGAAAGCTTTAATTATGCCTCTGAGGAAAAAAAAATACTTGGCACTACTTTTTCTTTACAGCAAATCCCCTAATAATGGAGCAAAACCAGAGACCTGTTTTAAAGTGTACTTAAAGGCCATTTATTTTTAGACTAGAAGTTATATTACTTCTGAAGCTAGCTGATGAATTAGAAACAAAATTCTGGAGATCATACTAACATAATTACTTGGTCTTGAAACTGGTATATGAAACCCATGGATCTTCCTTCAATGAATTTGGCATAACCTGACAGTCAATCATAAAGAGTAGAGTGGAAGGGATTATGTAACAAACAAGAATAAAATAGGACACCCTAACAGAGTAAATGAATATACTGTAAATCATGATTGCAATATAAACATAATGTCAGTCACACTGAAAATCAAAACAACTTTTAAAATTTCAAAAAATTTCAAAAAACTCAAGTGATTTCTTACCAAATCTTTTTTACAGAAGACCCGCCACATTTCTCCCCAAATGCACACATACTTACATCAACTGAATTCTCAAAGGGAGCTCCAACTTAATTAAATAAATAGTCACTTGCCTTAAAAAGACATTTCAGATGGACTGTACATACCATGATCCCATAAGATGATAATGGGGCTGAAAATTCCTGTTGCCTAATGACGTAACTGCAATCCATTGCTCCTGTTTTGTGGTGATGTGGGTGTAAATAAACCTGTGCTATTTATAGTATAAAAGCAGAGCACCCACAATAATGTAAAGTATGTAATACCTGCTAATTATGATAATTACTGCATGATTAGAATACATACACTATACTATATTATAGTATACTTTTTTTATGGTTGTTGTAGGATATATTCCCACTTTAAACAATGTTTACTCTAAAACAGTTTACTGTGTCACATTGGCACTAGCCTCATACATCTCATATTACTGCCTCTTTTGATTGCATAAAGGAGCCAGCTTGAGTGATTGATAAGTATCAACTAAGTTTCTTTAAATATACTCCATGAAGTTCACACAATAGAATCGCTTAACAGTGTGCTTCTTAAATTAGGTCCATGGTTAAACCTCACACAAATGTATTTAAAATAACTTATTCATTGTTCTGAACCATGAAGTAATTTTCAGGCTAAGGAGGGTCAAGACTCATCGGAAACAAGCTGATGAATTAGCTGGCACATGTGTGCCATAAGCCCTGAAATGCCAATAGAAGAGTTCTGATCATTGGCTCTCCACCCATGACATGAATGCATGCCTTTGTGTCTGTTAGAAATTCATATTAGCCCTGCACAATTGCAGCAGGCCATGCTTTCAACTCTATATTCATCATATGGATTTAGAGACATAGAACTCACATGAATTATGAATTAGTTACTCTACTTCTTTGAGTTATAAGTGGTCCCATGAAATGCGACTCTGTTAACAATCTACCTCAAATGCCAAAATCCAATGAGGCATAACCATGTACTGGCATTCCAGTAGTACAGACTACTACTAAGTGTTTCCATTATTAGTGACAAGTTCCAAGGTATTGTTACCCAAGAAAACTCAGGTAAGAACCACACATTTACTTCCAAGGTGACTTGTGTGAAGAGGGAAGAAGGCAAATATCACCATCCCTCAAAGGTTATTTGGAGATGTATAGTCAAGCAGGACAAGGGATCTTAAATCTTGTCTCTCAGCTGTGCACTGATTGACAGTTACTGAAAATACTTATGTCTTTCAGGGTAAGAAGGAATATATAGCCTTAATGGTGGTGAGAATTCGAATCTTGCTCTGTCTTCAAGCTGCCTACAGCTCCTTAAAAGTACAGGAACTCCCGTCCTGTTTCTTGCATTTACAGAAAAGCAGTAAAGCCTACAGTGAAGACTCATGTGTCACAGCCTTTTGTAGAGGCAAAGAATTAATTCTCTGCTAATTAGATTTGCTAGCCTATCTCCTTGTAATTATTTGGACATCGAGAAGCTTTTTAATAAGTCACAAGAAGCTACCTATCCCCTGACAGTAACATAGGGAAAAACAGGGACAAATTCTCATATCAAATTCAGACAGTTTAAGACAACTCTTTTTGACCAAACACCTGTGTTTATAATTTCATTGTAATTTTTTTCATAAAGAAATGATAAAGTCATCTTTCCAATTATATAAAATTCTTTTCATCCAAAAGTGGTAAAAGGGAAAACACAAACAGGAAAAGTACGCACGTATTTGCATTTCTAACATTGTTTGCTCCCTGCTGAGATGATCCTTAAAACTACCTTGCAAAATTTAAATGTTCCCTCAAAAGGCTTGAAAGGGGCGGCTGACGCTTTGTCCTTTATGGGTCCTGGGGGGTTAGGCAGAGAAGCTGCTTCTAGACTCATCTGGAAACCCAAAACATTGACCATCCACCGTTTGCCACAACTGGAAGCTCTGGGTGTGTATCAGAGACAGACCACTTCTTCAGCGCTTATCCGGGTGGCTTCTCAGCTAACCCTCCTCATGGAATACACTGCAAAGGTCTGAGGACTTTTGCCTGGAGAGGACTCCATCCTCTCCACTTTTCTTAGTGCATTCCCACCTCCAACCGGTTAATGGTCAGTTGCAGCATTTGACTGCACTTCTGTCCTTCTAAAAAACAAAGTCGGTGGTGGTGGTGGTGTGGGGGGATGGAGATTTAACTCCAACTTCAGTACAAACGTCCCGGGCTGCCCATCTGACACCGGTGGGTGGGGTGCAATCTGACACTTCCCTTCCCTTTCCAGAAACGTGAGTGGAGCTGCAGCGCCCTAGGCCTGGGGGAGGGGAGACCAGGGAGAAGGTCTGCATTTTCCTCCTCCCAACTTTCTGCTCCGGAGACCTGCTAACTGAGGTTAGCTGCCTGCTCACTGCCTTGCTCCCAGGTTTGGCGCCTGGAAAACTTCACGCTCTGCTTTCTCCTGCTCCAGGCTCCGCCCCTCCTCCAGATCCTCAATTCCTTGGCCCTACCCATCTTGGCCACTCCCTACCCGCTGCCTCAAGAACGAGCCTTTGGGGACATCTCTGCGCCTGTCCTAGGCCCAAAGCTGGCTGCGAATATCAAGTGTCACTCTACTGCGGAACACGGCCATCCAGTCCAGAGGCGGTCCCCTGAGCTCCTTCTGTTCAGACAGCGCTGAGGACAGTCCGCAGTTCTCTAGTGTCTTAGTCACTTAGCCAATACGAGGCCCTGGGCGAAGCTCGCACGGTGTCCCACGAGTTCCTGCCGAAGACTCAAACTTGGACACACTCTTGGGCTTTGCCAGTTGGAATAGTGGGTGCAGCAGCCAAGCGGAGCCCAAAAGCAAAGGCTCAGGCAACAGCGCACGGCGAGGGTGCACCGAGGGCGCGGCTGGGGAACTCAGCTTTGGTGCAGGAGTAGTTCTCACTCAGCAGGAAGCGCCACCGACGCTCCCAGGACGGTCACCCAGGCAGCCTCCTACCCAGTGGAGGACCCTGTGGATGGTCCTCAGGCTGTGAGGACGAGCTTGCTGGAGATTTCGAGGTTGTCCAGAACCAGCAAGCCTGAGTGCAGCGTCTTCTGCCTGAGCTAGGAAGGGGGAGTGGCGCTGCTTTGGAGCTGGGAACCAAGAAAGTGCCTGACCTCCCTACTAACTCTTTCTTCCGAAGTTCACTACTTGGGCTCCAGGGAAGGTTCTGGCGATCGGAGCCCTTTTTCCTAGAAGGCTGGTGATGGATCTCCTGCTGCTGCCCCCTCAGGGGCACTTGGAGCGCGTTGGCGGCGCGTGAGCTCCGCACTGCCCTCAGCGTGCCCCTCCTGGCAGCTTTTCCCAAGCAGCCTATTTTGCCCAACCCAAAGCCTCCGGGATTCCAGGAGGCAGCGAGAAGAAAGTGGACCTCAGGCACAGCTACTCCGAGATGTCCGCACAGAGCCTGCTGCACAGCGTCTTCTCTTGCTCCTCGCCCGGGTCTGGCGGTGTGGCCTCAGCCAAGGGCTTCTCCAAGAGGAAGCTGCGCCAGACCCGCAGCTTGGACCCAGCCCTGATCGGTGGCTGCGGGAGCGAGACGGGCACAGAGAGCTGTGCTTCAGGGGCTACAGCGGGCCGCCTCTACTCCCCGCACCCGCTAGCTGAAGGTCTCGGACCCCGCTCAGCTCCTTCGCCCCGGAGCCCGACCTCGCGGGCCAACCGACTCTCAACACCCAGACCTCTTTGCTCATCCCTCTCCACACCCAGCACCCCGCAAGAAAAGTCACCTTCTGGAAGCTTCCACTTTGACTACGAGGTCCCCTTGGGTCGAAGTAATCTCAAGAAGAGCACAGCTTGGGACCTGCCTTCTGTCCTGGCCGGGCAGGGCAGTGGCCGCAGCGCTGTGAGCATCCTCTGTTCCTCCGGAGGAGGCCCTAATGGCATCTTTGCTTCCCCTAGGAGGTGGCTCCAGCAGAGGAAATTTCAGCCCCCATCCAACAGTCGTGGCCACCCCTACATCGTGTGGAAGTCCGAGGTAGGGACTAGTGCCATATAACCTAATGGCCCAAAGCAGGAAACTCCAGGCAGTTCTAGGAGCTGTCTTTAATTCTTTTATATTTGTAATTCCAAGCACCCCTTGAGGAGTTTCCATGGTGGAGCTGTTAGACTCAAGCTGTTCAAAGGGTGCCTGGAAAAGGGACAACCCTAGTGGACACTTGTGTGTCCTTCAGGAAAGTTTGGCTCCACTTTGGAGCAGTCAAGGAAGTTGATGGAAGAGATGATGTCCTGATTTCCTGTTTGTGCTGCAGGCAATTTCAAAGGGTGATCTCCTTCACCTGATATTGATATTTTTTGAAGCTTAAATGATTTATTAATAAGCTGGTTACAATGATCAGATGAAATATATTTTGATGTATGTGCGGTCTGGTTGTTCTACAGATAACTTAGGGAACATTTTTCTGAAGGATGTTGTTGAATGTGTGTGTGTGTGTGTGTGTGTGTGCTTGTGCATGCACAAGTGCATTTGGGAGACAGAGTCCTTGTGGACTACTAGAATTTTCTAGTTTGGATTTCTTTTCTCTTAAGGTGTAATTTCAGAAATCCATGGTACTGAATACTTTCTCTGCCTAGGAGTATGAAATATCATGGAAATATGCCCAAGTTCCACTAAGGACAATTAGTAGTTAGTGAAATAGTCATGAATCAGGAATCGACAATAAATAAGGGAACTCAGAGGTGGCTATTTGATACCCTTGAAATGTTTGCTCTCTGGTTAAGAGTGGAGAATAGGGCAATTGGGAGACCATGGTTGATGGGTACTTGGAAAGCAGCGCGATTTTAGAGAATAAATACTACTTGGTTTGAAAATGACTGACTCCTATCCCTTTCAGTCCACAAACTCTATAGATTTGCCTTGGATCTGTTTCCATAAGGGAAGGGAGATTCTGTCAGTTGTAATTAAATATTTTGAAGCATGGTTAGCATTACAGAAATGAAATGGAGTACTATGTAATTGTTGGAGATTTAGACTAATTAAAGGAAACACAAACAAGCTAAAACAGTTTGAAAATAATATCTGAGATCATACTCAGGTCTATCAACATGAGATGGTTTAGATTACAGTTTTAATGGAAAAACCAACATTATCTATCAGAAATATTAGTATCATATATTATTAACATTGATTATTATGTCAAAGTGTCTGCTACTGCTGAGGGGGTATAGATTACAAAAAAACACCCTAACAAATCTGGCTCACTGTATTGTGCATTTTCATGAGGAAAGTAGACAGCAGCAAAAAAATTGAGGCAGCAAGTAGATGTTAACTTCAGACTCGGGGACAGTTTGAAATACATAACCATTTTTATCAAAAATAAAAATATTGAACTCTTGTGCTTTAGGAGAAGCTGGATTCCTGCTCTGTTTCAGAAGCACACATTATGAGATTAATTTCAAGCAGTTTAGATAAATGAAAAAATAAGCCAACTTCTTGGGTTAGATAGCCACTGGCATTCATGTTTGTAACTGAGTGCATTAGTAAGAATGTTCATGCTTTTCTTAGTAACTGCATGTAGCATACTTAGAATATACTATACGGATACTGTTGGTTGCTGTTATGACCAAAAAATGTTTCACTGTAGATCATCTCACTTGTTGAAAATTATCCTTTTATCAAAATCTTATAATCAATGGACAGTTATCTGAACTGACTGCAGTGATACTGAGTGACATATGACGTCCTTATCATGTTTGAATACTCTGCATGGACTTCATATACCTTGACTTTTACCTTTCTGCAGTGGTTAAAATTAAGTACAGAGCCATCTAGCAAAAGTGGATTTTTAATAAGTGTTTTACATCCATATAGGGAGGGGGTGGCAGAAATCTCTTTATGTTAGAGGCAGATATGAAGTGATTTGATGGTATCCTGACATTTGGGTCTGAGACAACCTAAGTTAAACCCTAGGTCTGACTTGGATTACTTTTGAAAAGTTTAACACCCTGTAACTCTAGCCAAAACCAAGAAAATTCATTCTGCTGGGCACTGCTTGTCCTTCTCACTTGCAAGGAAGTTGCGTTCTTCGTTCTAAAAGAGAATATTTATTAATGATTGTCAACAGTCCAGCAAAGGAGCACCTTGCAGTATTGTTTGGACCAGGCCCATACAGATTTGATCCTTGTAGTTTTCTGGGTTGCGCAGGCTCTGGAAATTTCAGACTTGACCTTATTGACATCTGCAGATGACACATTTTTTACTGTGGGGCTGCCCTGCATGTTGCAGGTGGTTGATCAGCACCCATGGTTTCTACCCACTAGATGCCAGTAGCACTCCTCTCTACCAGTATGACAAAAAATGTCTCTAGAAAGTGGCAAATATCCTCTTGGGGTGAAAATCACCTCAAGTGAAAGCAGCTACAGTACTGAAGTTGAATATGGTGGCCCATTCTGGCTATCTTGTGAGTGCCACCAAAGGACTATCAGCTGGCCCAGAAGTTTCCCTGCTTTTGATTCTAAAACCATGAGCATACCTATGAAGTCAGGCTTCAGACTTCATGTACCTGTAATAGTTTATACATTTTTTTTTCTATTTCTCTTCCCCTGAATACATAGGCAAACCTAAGCGTTCACTTTCAGGCTTAGCAAGTGATGGGTCACACTGATTTCCATTTAGTGGATTTCAGCAGATTTTCTTGTTTTAACATAAACTGTTGATACAACAGTTCACACTCCCAGGACTCTCAAAAATGCATGTAACTCTATTCCTTGTGCTTACCCCATGTTCATAAATGACTGTTTTATGGCCTAACCCTGGAAGGTGTTAAGCAACATTAGGTATGACTCTGTTAATATTTCCACAGTATGCGTTTCAGCATTGCTTTAACAACATCTGTTTTATGGACATGCTGTCTAGAATATTGATGACTAGAAAGGGGGAGAAGACAAAGAGCTACAAGGTACATAATGAGAATTGGTGCATGTTTCTCAACTTGTGTTTGTAGCCGCCAAGCTCTGGCCCTGCCCCTGGTCAGAGATAAAGGGATATAGTATCTGGTTTCAATCCTGCAGTCCTTCTAATTCTTGTGGACCAGAGCTGGGATTATGAACATAGTTAACTGAGAGTTTACTAGCTTCTGTAACCACATAATTAATGTAATTTCTTTACATCCATCCATGACTCTTACACTTTACTTCATTCATGTCACAGGCATTTTTTTATACTATGGATTGAACTGAGGGAGCCCTGAATTATATCCTCAGTCCCTTTTGTTTTTTATATTTTGAGACAGGGTTTCAACTACCCAAGCTACTTCAAACTTGTGATCCTCTTGCCTCAGCTCTCAGAATAGCTGGGATTACAGATATGTGCCACTGCCTCTGGTTCACAGGCATTTCTTGAGCAGAAGCATTTCTCTAGTTATCAGGAATGCAGAGAGACTCCAATATGCCTTCAACTGTTAAAGAACTTCCAGTCTAATAGTCTAATGAAAAGGCCAACCAATAGGCACAGTGCAGAAGGATCAGCACCAGGAGAGGAAATTGAGAAGAGTGAGAACTCACTGTCCTTTTTTAGGGAGGGTCATGAAAGTATTCATTGTGCAGAATACAACTTGATCTTCAAGGTTGTCTGTCATATGCAAGGAGGAAAAAGGAAAGTCATTGCTTGATGAGAGAGAAAATAGTAGATACACAAAGGTACAGAGATGTTGGTAATGCCAGAGTTTCAGAGAATAAGTACAGGGGCTCCAGAACGGTAATGTGCTTGGAAGGAGATGTTAGGATCCCTTATGTTTACTACATGCAGCAAGCGTAGGGCTTCCAATGTAGTAATCTGAGGAAACTAGAATTCGAGCAAGTTGGGCAGGGTGCTATTATAGATGTGTCTAGAAATGACAGAAGAGCCAAAGCACATTCTTTACCCCTCAAAGAGTCCCTGCATGACATCTACAGAGCGGTGAAAGTTATAGAGTGTTTCTGAAGTGAGAATTTTGTTGTGAATGCAGCATTGGGTGTAGCTTCCTGTGTGTTGCATGATCATACTTACCATGTATTTTGAAGAGTATCACTGTGCATTTCTCAGGAGTTTGGACACTTATATAGGGCAGTGACTCTGAACCTGAAGGTGAATTTGTCCTCAGGGCACATTTGGAAGTTGATAGAGTTATTTCCAAAAGATGAAAAATATTAACAAAAGATGAGAAATATAAAATAAAAAGCGGCCTTTATTCTGAGAACACGGAGAGAGATGACCGGCAACCCCCACCGCTGGCGTCCAGCGATCTCTCCGGCGGACACGCGGCGTGGGGGCCTGTAAATAGCCTCGGTTTGGGGTGGAACCTAAGGCGGGCATTAGGGATACACAGGTAGCCCATTGGTCCTAGGTTTGGCGCCCTATGTAAATTCCCAGGGGCGGGAAGATGGCGTCACAGGTAACTTCCTAGGGGCAGGGCAAGATGGGGCTTCCTGCTTCCGGTTGTGGCTTTCCTGGCTACAGTGTCCTGTCTGGGCCAAACCTTTCAGAAGTGTCTGTAAACATTTTAGCATGTCAAAATGGGTGAAAGTGGTTCTATATTGTCTTCCTATAACTTCTCTAGCAAATAATCATAAATTTAATGGCTTAAAGCAATATAAACTTTTTACCTTACAGTTCTGGGGATCAGAAGCTCCACCAGGTCTCACTAGGTTAAATTCAAGGCAATGGAAGGACTGTGTTCCTTCTGAAGTCTCTAGAGTCTGTTGTTATCCTTTGGTCAGTGGCCCCCTTCCCTCATCTTCAGAGTCAAGCGTGTTGCATTCCTGACCTCTCTTCCCTAGTCATTAATTCCTCTAACTGTCTTCAGGACTCTGTGATTGCACTGGATTCGCCTGGTTAATCCAGAATAATCTCACTATTTTAAGGTCATCTGGTTAGTGACTTTTAACTGCATTGGAAAACCTTAATTTCACTTGCCATGACATACTCACAGGTAACAGGATTTCAAGTACGGAAATCTGGTGGGACATTATTCTGCCTACCACAGGACAGTTGCTGTTGGT